CCAGGTACTTTCAAATCTTCTCTAGATTACTTACAATGCCTAAAACCATGTAAAATACATGAAAGCAGTTACTATACAGTCTTATTTAAGGAATAATGACAAGAAATACAGTTTCTTTTTCTGAAAGCTTCCGCTAATATGTTTTGTTGAGTCATTGAGCACAGAACACATGGATAAGGAAGGTCTGCTGTACTTTTGTTGTAGACAGAGTTTGAATCTTAATGTCCTTCAAAGACTTTCATGTTAAAGGCTTGCTTTCCAGTTTCATTCTATTGTGATGCAAAAACTCTAAGCCACAGGCCTAGTGAGCGGTCTTGGGGTCACTGGGGTGTATATTTAAGAGCTTCTGCCCAGCCTCCTCTTTGCTCTTTTGCTTCTCAGCCCTAAGGGGTTTTGTGAGTTTGGCTCCCCTGTATATGCCACATGTCCAAAGTGATGGAACTAATCCATGTGAACTGAAATTTCCCAAGCTGTGAGTCAAAATAACTTTTTAAAAATAAGTTGGCTTATCGGAGGTATTTATTATAGTGCTGGAAAGCTGACTAGCATACTTGCATGAGGTCCTTTGCTTATGAGTTAAAAACTCCCAAGAGTGGAGAAGGCCAGCTGGAAACCTTTGAAAGTGCCCCCTCCTGACACAAGATGCCAAGTCAAAAAAAAATCTCATTCCAGGGCGTACAGAGTTTAGTGCCACTGTCAAAGGTAAAATAAGTTTTCAACCAGCACTGGACTGGTCTTGACCCCAGGGGTGAAAGGTTTCTGCCCTCGTATAAATTACTGGACATCATGGCAGTGATCTTAACATGGTGGAAGGCCAAAGCAACAACCACACTCACCTGCCAACCACTGCCTCCTCCTCCCCTTCAGCCCTGGTTACAACTTCCTCTTTCCTTTCTTGTGTGCATGAAGAGAATTCCAATCAGTTCTTGATGCATCATCAACGCCTGCCCCAAGTGCTGCTTCCGGTCAGAGGTCCTAAAACCGCCTGCAGGTTTGTCGCACCTTCTGGATGGTGCACTCCTCTCCACATTCTCAGCAAAGGCCACTTTTTCTTTCCTGTTTGCTTCTCTATTGCACAGGAAAACCCTAACGAGACAAGTCAACCTCCCACACTAGTGCCTGAATAAGGCATTTGCATGGTGGACACAGGAGGAGATCCAGAGAAGCCTCCGCTCCAGGGTGACCGACCCCCAATTCACTAATTTTACTTAAAAAGTAAACCTACCCTGGAAAGTATGTAAAATAGAATCCTTTAATACAGATAATAGTTTGAGTTTCCTGAAGAGACAGTCATAATTTGTACATGCAGAAAACCTCAGAGGGTTTAGAGACATCTGAATTAATTCTGTCTCCCAAGATTTCATGAGGAAAAGCTAAAATAGATTTTTTACACAAGCCTAATTGACCTGAGATGATGATTAAAAAGGTCATATACTTCCATTTACTAAATGTTTTCTGCGAACAAGCTGACCTGTGAATTTCTTTCTCTGAAAATACTGACAAAATTAAATGTTTTATTGAACTGAATTAAAGATGACTCTATAATTAAGGAAGAGAGATTCATAAAGGAGTTCTTCTAATCACACGTGATTTGCCAACATGTGGTATCTTTTCTCAAATTATGTACAGAGGCTTTGGATTTTACTGAAACAGAACCGAACTGAACAAAATTGTTATTTCTATTCTCTTGGAGAAATCAAATATTTGTGGCCAGTTTGTCAGTTAAGTAACTAGTTTTAAAAAAGAAATAAAGGGGGAAAAGCACATTAATATGACCTGTAGTTTATCTTCCCCTACTAAAAAGTCGTCATATGTAAATAAAGATGAGAAGGCATCATTAAGAATTTTCAGCACTGACAGCACAATTTTGGTTACATTTCAGTGATCAAATCCAATGAAATTAAAGTTCAACACTAGCTGATTTTTTTGATGTGATGAATAAGAGCAAATTCTGTACTCACAAAAGGGTCTTTTTTCAACAAAGACAAGGCACGCAGTCTGTATCCAGAACATCCCTGGGTCACAAAGGCTGACAGAGGTGTGCAACAGGCTAGGATGTGAGGGGTTCCTGGAGACGTCTTTTAAAACAGGAATGAGTAAACGTCTTTCTAAATGGATTAGCTCAAAGTCCAGGGATGACTCACATCTGGTGCTAGGCCTGAGACTCCAGATTCAACGTGCTTGCAGCATAGACACAGAACATTCACTGAGCAGCATTTATTGAGTGACAGCCAGGTGGGCTCTGGGCTTGGGAGAAAGAAACAAGTATGAATTAGTCCCTGCTCTCTGATGCTGTCTTCTCCAAAGACAGCACAAACTCAGGCAGAGTACCCTGTCACTAGTGCTGTGAGCGCCTAGAGAACAGTGACTTCAGCTGAGGCGTGCCTTCAAAACCTGCGGTATGCCTAAGTGTCAGCATGTTAATACTCAAAGTCAGGGATCCTGCAGTAGTAGCAGTACTTACAATGTGCCTCTTACCCCCATGGCGGCTCTTGGACCCATCCAGGTCTACCTGTCAAAGCTACTTTCATAATGATTTGGAGATATTATCTGCCCTTTTCTGCTGTATCACTATCAGCATTGGTCGTAGAAAGCAGTGAAATAAAACTGTTGGAGTCTTAGCACGAATAAAGGCAGGAATAGCAGGCTGTCATTATGATTTAGATCCAGAATGTCCCCCAAAGCCCTATGTGTTCATAGTTGGGGTTTTTGGAATCTGACTGGGTAGATCATGGGGTGCTATACTCATCAGTATAGGGCTGTGCTGTTAGGGGTGGGGGCTGTTGGAAGAGGTGGATCCCTGGGAGTGTGACCTGGAAAGGTGTAGATCTCTCTCTCCAGATCCTTTACTCTCTGCTTCCTGCGTGCCCTGGATTAGGGACCTTGTCTTCTGACATGCCCCTCTACCATCCTTCTTCTGGACTTAGCCATCCACACACTGATCCAAAGTAAACCTTTCTTCCTTTAAAATATGGGTGTCTTGTATGTTGCCCTGGCAATAGGAAGGTACCTAACAGCAGGATGGCATACTTCACCACCACATACCCCCAGTACAAAGTAACAGACCTTGAAAACAGCCTTTTAAAGTACTCTCTGTGTTGGAATGAGAAGTTTGCCTAAAGGACTTCAGCTGCAGACCCAGATACAACAACGCCTTAAGGAAAACCGCTATTGATTGATTCACTTGTGGAATCGGTCACTTGTTCATAGAATACTATTTTTACATGGAAGGACAATTGCCAGACAAACTATAGTTATTCAAGCCATTATATAGGCATTTTCTCTTGAAAATGAACAACATGAATCTGCCTATTACTATAAGGAAAAGCAGCATTATTCGTTTCCAATGACAAAAATGAGCTTTCATGCAAACACTGGAATTCTGGAAAAATTGTATTCATCACTGTGAACTTGGCAGCCTCCCAGTGCTTAAAAGCTTTTCTAGAAGACTGGCTGATTATGAATGAATATATCAACATTTGCAAGATATGACTGATTCAGAGACCCAAATATTTTTCAAATGATCAATGTATGTTACAAAATTATGCATAGATAAAAGAGCTATACTAAGTTTAAATACACCAATGATTTTAATGTCACAGTTCACTAATATAACCAGATTTTACATTGCAACTGACCTTTAAGAATCACCACTTGCTGAGTTTTGGGGTAGTGAGAAAGAATATCCAGAATTACCTTACAAGGCTACTAACATATTCCTTCTCCCTTTTTCCAACTTCATATCAGTGCAAAGACGAATTTTCTTCACATGCTCCAACCAAACAACTTATCGAAGTAGGCTGAATGCAGAAGAAAATGTAGGAATCCAGCTGTCTTCCATCAAGCCAGATGTTAAGAAGATTCAAAAACGTGACACAATGCCAATCCTCATTAAGATTCTTTGTTTTGGAAAACTTAATTTCATTTCTTTGCTTTGCTATTTTTTGTTGATGTGTGCTGGGTGTATTATTGTTCTTAAAACAATGTCTTAAAATGTTTTTAAATGTGGTAGATATTGATCTAGAAGACCCACATAAACAAAAGCTCCTTGGAGGTCTACAATAATTTTTAAGAGCACCGTGGGGTTCTGAGAGAAACCCCCTTTGAAGGCATTCACACACGGGCCCTTCACAGTCTCATGTCTTTCCGACATTATTTTTTCCCATTGTTTTCTTGGCTATGTTCTCTGCTGCCTCCAGATGGCAAGTGTCTTCAGACCAAATTTAGTGAAATTTCCCCTCATTATCCCATTAAGTGACTCTCCCCTTGGAGCACAGGCTCTCCATGCAGAGCTAATGATCATGAGATGTGTTTTGTGTGGCTCTGCTTTCATATGAACGTTACCAACATGTAGGCTCCAAGGGATGAGGAAAAGCCATCCTCAACCCTTAGAGCATCAAATTCCAGCAACTAGTCTGTCTCCTAGCACACTGCTGTTGCTAAACAAATTCAAAACAAGGGAAAAAAAGAAATTCCATCTCATTCTTCTGGCCTGACCTAATGAATCTGTCAGAGGGTGACCGGCGCACCTCCCCAGTGAGACAGGAGACGCTCTTGTGGGCGACAATTAACTGCTGCTTTATTCACGCGGGCTCTGGTTTATATATTTGGCCGTGACCAATCACAGGCTGCCACGAGGAAGCAGGGCGGGAATGGGACGCAGGCTCTGGCTACTATATCCAGCTGTGGCCAATCAGGAGTTGCCACAGAGTATGGAGTGAGCACGAAGTGCGCACGGGTTGGCTAATTTAAAGAGGGACGTAGCGCATTGCGGAAGCTGGCGTGGTCCTTAGTCCCGGGTGGGGTATAGTATGTTGAGCGCCTGCGCCCAACAAGAGGGAGGAATCTTATTGCCTGGGCTGGGGAAGAGGGCTCACGATAGAATGGTAGACAAGCACTCGAACTCTTGGCGCCCAACAGACACACAATTCCAGGTGTGTCTACTTTTAACATAAGCTAAAGAGGTTCCCACACAAATTTAGTCATATGTCCTCACCCCAGAGGAAACTACCAGGGACCCACCCAGCTACTGGAGTTAGAGGTGACATCACAATGCCATTGTTCCCTAAGGGCAAGATCTTTGGGATGCATTTGTCTTAGATATTTTGTCACCCTGGAACCAGCTGGCAAATGTAATGAGCAGCCCGTCTTAAGGTACAATGATGTGGGCACAGAGACTTGAAAGAGGGGAGAAAAGAGAATTATTATTTTCTTCTTAGCAGCAAAGAAAATGTTCTGGTTTCTGCAACGAATCTTCTGGCCTGTGACTGCGATTCTTGTCCCCTGTTACCCACAGTATGTTTCCCTTGCTTTTGACCAGAACCTTGGCTGCTGCTAGTTTAGAAAATCCCATTGTCCAGGCCTTCTCTTTCTCTATTAATGAATGCAAGTGGCTTTATTCTGTAATTTTCTTTGTGAGAAAATTATAGAAAAGACTTCTTCAACCACTAAGGATCAATCCAGATTATGATTTTTCTTGACCAATTGGATGACAGTTACTTTGGAGTACTCAGATAAATGCACTAAAGAAATTTATTTTGTGTAAAAGTAATAAGAACTATGGTAGTAATAAAACCTAAAATGTGTAAATGTTATTGTAAAAAAGAGAGGGAAAAACAGTGCTCTAAAAGATACAACTGCAAGTGTGTTCAAGGGTGTTAAGATAGATGATCATATAACTAAGTTTTTGTTGGATCCTTGAACACAACTGTTTGCAGTCTCACTGTTTGAATGTCCACTTTGTATGCTTTAATCCTTTAACTTGAACAAGTATTTCTAAGATGACAATATGCAATCTATTAACTAGTGATTTCTGACTGTTTTTTTTTTTTAAATTATGTATTACTCGTACCCTTATACTGTTTTGGGGTTTTTTTTTTCTCCTTTAAATAAAATTTTAAAAATATTTTGTGTGTGGAAAGCAAGAGGTAAGTGACAGCTTAATTTCCCTATTCATAGACAATGCTTCTGGCTCTAAAAAGAAAGGGAACTCGAGAGTCTATTGAAAGAAGCAGCCCATGTGCAGATGAGAAGGGAGGCCTGAGCCAGGAGGGCATGAGAACACGTGTAGTTTCCAAGAGAGTCCAGCTCTTCGGACAAAGGGAGGGCAGGGAGCCTCCGAAGTAAGCAAGAGAGGCCGTGCTTCTTTCAATAAAAGATTCATTTGACCATAACAATCATCAGTCAGTTCTATTGTTTTGCAGGACCAACAAGTGATCCTTATCTCAGCAGAACAAATAAAAAATGGTAGAGGGGGGCAAACTAGAAAAAGAAAATGCCTCTTTAAATTGATTTTCAAAGAACAAAATGTGATTTCAAGAAAAATCATGCCCTACTTCGGACAACTTTACCTTCTCCCGTCACTAAGCAATTTCATCCTGATGCCTCAGCTCCACAGGCATGTGCTGAGGACCACTGAGAAGCATATTATTTTCCAAAAGAAGAAAATACTTCTGACTCAGCACCTGGAAAATTCTAGGAAGGAGAAATCTCAAATTTAGGGGAAAAAGTTTTACTGTGAAACACATACAGTAAGACATAAGATTTTTAAAGCTAAAACAGGACTCTCATTTTCAAGTGGCAATTTATTCATTTAAGTAAAGGGCAAAGTGTTTTAATTCCGAAAGGATGAAAGGATTCATTTTTCTGTGAAGAAATGGAGTTTCGATTTGGATCCATAAAATCTAAGACTAAAGCTAAATTCTTCTGAGGACACTGCCTTGTGGTGTGAGTTTTTCCCCGGATGAAAGAATGACTTCTTAAGCCAAAATCAATTGTGCAACAGTTGTGCCCAATTTTCCCAACAGCACAGAAGGGAGTGTGACCCCTTACAAATACACTGTGACTTGTGCAGTGGTCCAGCAGAGTGCATACAGCTTTCACACACACGTGCACACACACACACACACACACAGGAGGTCTCTTGATAATTTTAATGTGAATGCTTTGCTGTTGTATATGATATGGTTGACATAATTCATTTCATAGGACATAGTTATTATTTGCAGAGGTATCAATTTATGATCTACTATATTTCAATGTTCATTCAGACTGAGTTAAAGAACTGAAATGTACATGTGAAATTGAACAAGTAGGGCTTCTCCTTTTCTAGTGTCCAGGGCATAATGAGTGTGACTACACGATTTTGTTCTGAATTGGTGCTCAGATCTCAAGGTGGTGAGAGCTAGTGACCACGCATCATCAGTGCTATTCATTTTAAGCTAAGCTTAGTGACGATTTAGTGATAGACAACATACCTCATGCTTGACAGATATTGTCTTGTTTATCACCACCACCTTTTATACTAGATGAGAACCTGAGGTCTAAAGTTGCTAAAGAGATTGTTCACACTTCCATGGCTACTAATAATTTAAGGAGTCAAAGCTCATGCTCTGAACCATTACACACGTCTTCTTTTGGGTTTCAAATGAGGGCACCTCTGTATATTCTATGATATATTAGCTTTTTAGTATTTTTAGATACTGTTTCCACGTTTCCTGTGGTCATTAGCCTCTTCTAGAGGTTAAATGCCTTTGATTTTGATGTGGCAGGCCCTATACAGCTGAAGTTGATGCGATCTGCATCAATGGGAAAATTAGTATTTCAGATACCACTTGTTGGCGGTGTTAGGAGGTTCATGGCCCATCTTGCTGTATTAACACTCATTTCTTAATTCAGTAATGAACGAGGCTTCAGACTTTGGGGGAGGAACGTGGATTTGTAATAGGCATTGTCCTTCTTTTCTAGGGTGATTGGAAAAGCACCAAAGCTTACTATGTAAAAATCCTTCAGCGAGTCAGCACACCATGGACGAGTACCACTGCCACTGCTGCGAAGTTGGCTTCAATGCTAATGAGGCCCACAGTATCGTCAAAAAGTGTGTGGACGGGGTGTTAGGAGGTGAGGATTACAATCAGAACAACACCAGACAGTGGACTGCAAGAATAGTGGAGCAATCGCTCACTCATTTGGCTAAGCTGGGGAAAGCTTACAAATACATTGTGACCTGTGTGGTGGTCCAGCGCAGTCCCTATGGCTTTCACACGGCCAGCTCTTGTTTTTGGGACAGCACATCTGATAGAACCTGCACTGTAAGATGGACGAACCGAACCATGCACTGCATTGTCAATGTTTTTGCCATTGCAATTGTCCCGTGACTCCTAAAAATATTGGGCTAAAGCCATTAACTTAAGACTTTGTCCGTGTGTCTTTTCCAAAAAGAGTAATACATACTTATTATCATGTTAGCTGACAAGTGCACAATATGCTTCAAAGCTACCAACTAACCCTATTAAAAGCAAGTAATCTCACAGTATGTTAACAGATTATCTCATATTCTATGCAACATCATTAAAATAGGAAAAATTGAATATTAGCAAAAAATAAATGGAGAAATATGGTATGACATAAAAATAAGATCTTATATTTAGACCAGCTTTTCACTAACCTTATTACCTAAGGAAACGGGAAAATTTATTCAGAAAACAATATTATCCTTCAGCTAGACAACTTATTAGAGATAAATATATGACCAAAAAACGTACAAGAAAAAATGGTAAGAATTAGCTAACAAATACTTCTTAGTTTTTTGTTTTATTTCTTCCTCTTGCTTAGTTGTGTATAATATTTAGTGAAAAGTAATTCTGTTCTTTTTTATAATTAATGTTATAGTAGGAATTATGATTAACTTGTTCACTTTTTCTGAGAACTGACAAATGCATTTTTTTTAAAATTCAATTTCTCGGATTTATACTCAAGGTTAAATTAAATCTGATAACCTGAAATTCCTGGTTAAGCAAAATGAGTTATACCATATGATAAACAGTACATGATTCGGACAACTACTTAACAATCACTCATCCATGTGAAGCAAACATTAAATGCTTGTGTGAACGTATTTCTCTGGTAGACCTTACAGTTATCAATGTGTTGTTCAAATATAAGTTCCTTTGGCAGCTGTTCAGCTAGAAAACTAGCATTTTTGTTTGGGAGAAGAAAAAAGAGAGATTATTTATAGGAGAAGAGAAGAGTTTGGCTGTCCACACAGAGTCAGCAAAATGAAAAATACTTACTGGTGACAGAATTATAAACATAATTTTAAGAGTTGTACCTAGCAAGTTAAAAACTGTATTAAATATGCAACTCTTAGTTAAAGGTCTTACTAGTAGTCTTAACTATACAAGTAGTAAATTTTATCTTTGTTTTCGTTATAAACATTTGTAAACAATTCTAAAAACTTAGGGGCACTGTAAATTGAAAGGGATAAAGTCTAAAATACAAGTATACAATCATGAACAAGTTAACTGATATCTCAGGGCTCAAGAACTATTTTAAATTTATAAAGAAAATAAAAACTAAATATTAAAGTGTACAGCTGACCACCAAATGTGAAGTCAATCTGGTATTTAACCTTGAAAACAAAATCAATCTTACGTATCACCATTAACAATACAGTGGAGGCTGGAATCAAGACTCATTCAATTTTTTTTCCCCTTTGAAGACCTCACTATGTGGTCCAGGCTGGCCTTGAACCCACAGCAATCTGCCTGCCTCAGTCTCCTGAGTCACTCAATTTTTGAAGAAAAAAAAAGCTAGTACTAATCTTGAGACTAGTAAGGCTGTATTCTTGCAGGAGTGCTATGTGTGTGCTTGTGAATAACAATAATTTTTCAATATTTAAGACAAAGATTAATAAAATAAAAAACAGTTTAATACAATGATCTGTGTTTTGTATACATCAAAAATTTTCAGCCATTTCTTTATGTTACCTTATTCTGCTGGTTTTTGTGCTCCTGGAGATTATAATACTGACCAAAATATCTGTGTAGTTAAGACTTATTTGTGATTGTTGTTGAATCCTGGTTTCAAAAAATCAAATTATACCTTGTGAGCTCGCTCTCTGCTCTGTTTCTAGTTACAACACAGTAAAAATTATCTTTCTATACTGTAAAAAAAAAGCTCGGTTCCTACTCAGTCTATCGTATCTTGTCATTCTGTAATCGAGCGAACTCTGAGAGGGACAAAGCAAGCTGCCTTAAACCAAAATTACCAGAATATTGATAGTAAACCCACCACTATCTACCACCACCTCTGCACTCAGCAGCCGCGGCCACCAAGCATCATTTGCCTGCAAGGACCCAGGGCCATGAGTTCTATGTACATTACCTGGAAACTTCACAATTACACAACAAAGTTGCCATTATGATCTTCATTTAAAAGCTTAGGGACCCTCTTTTATCTCAATCTCCTTTTTTTATTGTTTACTTTTTTATCTTTTTAATTAAGGGAAAATAAATTTTAAAATAGCAGGATATATTATAGTAACCCACTTTGATTTCTTAGTAACTTGATTTGAAACCCTGTATTGCCCTCACCATCTTGTTTTGACTGATTTTCCTCTATTCTATTTTGCTTGATAGTACCAAGTTCGAAAGTATAGGCAACAACTATGAAGACAGTAAGATCATTATGATCCCCATTCTGGTTGACTATTATCTTCTTTTGAAGTCCTGTAATGTTTCCAATGTTTTGGTTTTATTCTTTACTGTTTTGTTCAATTTTATTATAACTGATGATATAGGCAATTCTTTTTAAGATAGCAAGAGGCAGTATAGTAACCATTGTTGATCACCTTGTATTTTGTTTTTACATTATGTATTATGTCCATCCTTTTGATTTGACTGACTCTGTTTTGTTATGTCACATTTGGTTTTATTCTCTTCAAAAAAAGTAATAAGAGCTGTGGGAGTAATAAAACCCAAAATGTGTAATTGTCATTGTACAAAAGAGAGGAAAAGAAAGTGCTCTAAAGGATATCACTGCATGTATATTTAAGTGTATAAGATAGGTAACCATATTACTGAGTTTTGTTGGATCATTGAACAGAACTGTTTGCAGTCTCACTGTCTGAAAATCCACTTTATATGCTTTAATTTTGTAACTTGAACAACTTTCTAAGACAACAATATGTAATCTATTAACTAGTGATTTCCTACTGTTTATTTTTCTGAAGTTCTTTTTAACTTGTACCCTTTTTATGGTTTTTTTCCTCCTTAAATAAAATTAAAAAAATAAAAGTAATGTCAAATACAGGCATATAAAAAAAAAGCTAAGGGAAATTGAGATAAACTGTGAAAAGAAGATGTGGATTCTAGATATTTTCAAGAGACTTGTTATAAAGTTCATTCTTATAGTCAGTAGGTGGACCTCCAGAAGTGATATTAAAAGTAAGTTTAAAAATGAAGATTATTGTCTGAATTAGAATTGGAACCTCTACAGCAAGGCAGCATTATTACACTTTGACTTAGGAAGACTTGTGGAAGATCCCACACAGCAGTGAGTTACTTTGTTAGAGATCTAATCTGCGCCAACACAAAATTCCTCTTATCTATTATTTTGTCATTCTCTAATTATGATTTCATAATGGCGTCAATCAAAAGTGTCTGTTACATGGGGGCATAACCTATTTGCAGTGTAAAACCTTCCACAGAATCCCAGCATCTCAGAGTTGGTGATACCTTACAGGACAGGTTGGTGAGCTTTCCTTCTCCCAGTCGATGGTTTGGTTCTCTCCCCAGTGCTATTTTTGGAAGGGAAAAATGAGACCATTTATAATAAAATCATTTACGAGATGACACCAAATGTTTTTGCTTTAAATTGTGTAAAAAACACAGAAAGTTGTCAAGTTAGTGTTTGACTCTATGGAGAACAAATGGCTTATGCACGTGACCGGTCACGTGCCTGCATCCCAAGTGTCAAATGAGATGACGTAAAGTAAATGCACACCACAAAAATCATGCAGAATAACAAATCTTAATATTTTAGTTCTATACAATTTTATGTGTACAGAAAAAATTGTCAGACTCATTCAAAGAGCTCCTGTTGGCTCTTTACTAAGATTTACCAATTATAAATATTTTCATATATTGATCGTACATTGGTTTTTCCTGAACCACTGAAGAACACTTTATCACCATCTAGTCCCTTTACCTACAAATATTTCAGTGTGTATTTCCTGAGAACAAAGGCTTTCAGGGTAATAAAAAAATTTTTAGGTAGTAAAATTTTTTATCAAAGTACAAACATAAAAACCATCAGGAAAAAAACCCAATACCATAAAGAAAAATACTTTGTCTTCATGGTTAAGGATGAAAAAAATGATTTGCCTTCATTTCTCCCAAAAGGAGAATTTTTTGGCTTGTTTTTCTTACTGTGATATTTTTACATCTTGCATGAGGGCCCAACACATAATAAGTACTCACAAAATACCTATAAACTTCATAATGTGATTCCATCGTACAGTATTGACCACATCTCCAGGTGAAGTATTTCTAAAACAAAGGCAACACTGGCATCATATTTGATCATTTATTGCCCATAATTTGTAGTTGATATGGTACAAAAAGAACGAAAAGCTTCAGATACAAAAGACTTAGGAAATTATCTTTTAAAAATAAGACCAAGGCCTTCATAGGCAAACGGAGACAACTTGAGACTATCCTCAGTAGTGAAATAAATAAGAATCATATTTATAAATATCACATTGTGTCACTAGCGTAAAAAGTAATAACTGTATGAGTAATAAAACCCAAAATGTATAATTGCTATTGCAAAAAAGAGAGGAAAAGAAAGTGCTCTAAAGGATATAACTGCATGTATGTTTAAGTGTGTAGGATTGATAATCATTACTAAGTTTTTGTTGGACTGTTGAACGGACTGTTTACAGTCACACTGAGTGTCCACTTTGTATGCTTTACTGTTGTAACTTGAACAACTAAGAGGACAATACGTAATTGATCAACCAGTGATTTCTTACTGTTTAGTTTTTTGAAATTCTGTATTATTGGGGGCCGAGGATTTAGCTCAGCGGCAGAAGCACCTGCCTTGCAAGCAGGCGGTCGTGAGTTCGATCCCCGGTATCGATAAAAAGTTAAAAAAAAAAAAGGAGAAATTCTGTATTATTTCTATCCTTTTTCTGTTTTGTTTTCTTTTTCTCCTTAAATAAAATTTTTAAAATGAAAAGGAAAAACAGACCAAGCAGATTTTAACCTAAGCCAAAGAAACTCCCTTCGTCCCCACTCAGGATTATCACATGGCCCTGTGCTTCCTTGCTGAGAGCAGGTTCTGATGCACTCTGCAAGGAAAGGCTGCTTTCTTCCTAGGGGCTGTG